AATTTTCCACAGGAAGCCCGTGAAGTTGCCTACCTTGTTAGTATATTGTATAGTAGAAAAACAAAATTATTACCTAGGGGGGTAGGTGAGATGACAAAAAATCGATAGCGCGCGCATAAAAAGTCAAAGACAAGACACCATTTAGTATTTCCTTCATTTATTAGAGTGGTTAGCCTGTGGTATACGGATGTACGGTTTACACTCTACACAATTAGCAAGGTTGCGAAAAACGAGGTTGAGTTGGAACGTCCGTTTAGTTGATGGTTTTAGGGGATATATTTCCAAGATGGCGTCTTTTCGTCACCTAAAACAGTCCTACRTGCACTGCAATGCCAACTCGACCCATTGTTTCCTCAACCATGGAATGCCTCACGTTTAAAAAATATTTGACGTCGGCATACAGAAGCAATCAGAATCTCGTGGTCAAGGTAAGAAATTTAAACATTGAAATATCAGAAAYGATCGCTACCTTTCATAGTTGTGTATTTATTATCTTAGAGTCATATTCTTGTATAGTAAGTGAATGGTATGAATCGCTGTTAGCATCAGGTACTGAAAAATGCGTCTCGTAGATATCTTCACGCACACKTCTAGTACCAGCACGATCTTCCCTTTCGCACCTTTTATGCTCAGCAGTGGATATTYGTGCATTCCCAACAATGTTCATCCAATTCATGATTTCACAAGAAATCCGAACAATAATCAATATTAAGAGTTCTAAGAATTCCGTAGCTGTTAAACAGGAGATTCCGATCCATAATCCCAGCTGACCTCCAATGTCCGATATAAAGTTAATAACCTTAAAAAGAGAGAAAAGTATATCTATCATTACAACGGTCACTTGATGTAGTTTAATTGCAGAGAACCGTGAATGATAAGACATAGAGGATAAGACCAAGCTGGGCTGCTATTATGGGAAAATATGTTTCTATATTAAATAATTTAAAAAGTGAATAGTGGGGTACATTGTAAGGGCTATGTTGTGACAGCAACTTTAATTTTATTTTTGATAGAGTATTTTAAAAAAAAACAGGCTTTTTATGGAGTTCATATTGTTGAGATCAGTTTATTTACACCACATTAAGATATGCTTATTGYATTTAACAGATAATAATAGAAAAAAAGAAGGTGTTAGGTTACCTGRGTAGCCTATTYACAAATATTACATTAAAAAGATAAATAACTTGGGTCTATGCACATGCTAATAATACATTTGTAATGACAAAAAAGAAGAARGGCATGATAATTAGCTGAAARTAACAAAAGAAATAATATCATCACTGGCTAATATTGTAAAATAGGCCAAAGCAAATGTAACATGTAATTTTTTAAATTCCAATTTTCTGAAGTAGCTTTTTTGGTAAGATTTCCCCCAAAAAGACCTACTCTTATCAATGCCGGACATTGCAAAGATTTTCTTYTTGTCTTGAATTTTTCACCAAACGAGTGTGTCGTGGTAAGAATGTCCTCAACCGCACAAAATCCCTACCACAGTTGGTGAGAAACTACTTAGGTTCATTTTATCTTTACTCAATGCTCTTTTAACCAAAAACTGTAAAATAACACATTTTTCATGTTWATTACTTTATTATACCTAACATCCGTGGTAATAGATTTAATGACTCTATCTGTAATTCACTACGATGAAAAAAAAATGGTACCTGCTTACTGAATTGGTCTTAAAATGTCCACGGAAATTTCCAAGGACATTCTACCATTTCATTTTAGAGTTCTAACGTATACAATTAAACATCTTCCTCCCCCCTCCAAAATCGTCCCTTGCCGTCGTTTCCGATGAAGCGCGACTCCCAAGACTTCAACATTGTAGTTTGCACTGTGCATTCATCATTGAATTTCGAATAAAAAACATTTTTCAGAAAAAATGAATGATATAGGTAGCAAAAAGCACTGACAAACATAGTTTCTTTAGAAACAATGGGGTGGAAAATAATTTACTTGAGCGATATTTGWGTCGATAGAGAATGATTGACGTCCATCTAATGCACAGTGCAAACTACAATGTTGAAGTCTTGGGAGTCGCGCTTCATAGGAAAAGACGGTAAATCAACATGCATCACGTGCGCTGAGCTGCCACTTGTGTATTTACCGCCGTTTTTATCTATTTCAACTCTAATTTCCATTAATGCTTGAAATCCACGAATCGACTCTATTCCAGTATCCTGGTTGTGTAATAATTTCTTGGTGTTTTTTGGTACTTAAATGGAGCTGTAAATTTTCAATGTTAGATTCTTGACAATGGTCGCAAAAAAATTTTTTTTGTGCTTGTTCCTGTTATAATCAGCCTAGTAGCTGTGTTCTGTCTCTCGATTGTTCGCAAACATGGCCAACGTTTAAATTCTTTCACTAAAGGTCTGTACTT